GTTTTGTTTTTTTGAATGTCCAGAGGACCAGATTTAACTTTTTTAGAGTTTTCTCTATAAGCTTTTGCAATTAAGAATGGATTCCCATATCTTTCATCAAGTGTTTTCCATGCAGCAGCATAGGCGGATTCAGTTCCAAGCAGGAAGTAGTGCATTATTTGCTTGTCCGCTCACATATCTGCCAAGGTAGAATATTTGCTCATTCTCTGGAATGTTCTTTTGATCGATGAGTACATGGAACGAGAGCTTCCAATCACTGTATCTTAAAGGATCTCCACTGAATATTGATGGTTCAGGAACAGGTAGTCTACTAGCATTTGATGCACTAGCGAACGCCTTGACAAGCTCTGCTGTATCAACATTTGTGGGTGTGTTTGCAGCTTGTGAGATAATGTGCCTTTGAAGTGGAACACTTACATATTCAAGGGCCTTACTTTCTGTAGTTGTGTTTATTATGCCCACCTTATGCTCCTCTGGCAAACTTAATGGGACATATATTTGCATCTTTGAAAGATCTACGTGCAGCACAAGCACTTTTTCTAAGTGCTGAAACTTTCTTTTCTTTTCATCAAGTAATCGTTGTAAGACTGCATATTCTTCCTCTTGTTTAGCCTTAAACTTGGCTTCATCTTCTTCTTTTTGCATTCTCAGCTTACGTTCCTCTGCTTCTCTTTCTAAACAAAGTCTTCTGGCTAAGGACTCTTGCTCTGCTGCTATTCTTCTAACTTCAGCTTCAAGTTTTTCAGTTTCTATCTGTTCAATGTCTTGTTCCTCTAATACTTCCAGAACAGCTTGGCTCGCAGCTGCTTCTGCCACGGCCTCCTGGTGTTTTACAGAGGACTGACTGGAATGTTCAGAGGTGCGTGTCTTACTGAGAGTTGAATCAAAGAAGGAGCCTACATCTGGCCAACCTTGATCCTCTTCTGTCACCTTTCCATCCATGTCGCCTTGGATACGATGAACTTAGAGACTTGAACACACACGTCTACTTTACGACGTGTCTCTTGATCAGGAGGTGAAAGTTGGCGTAGCTCGTTGTTTACTCGCTGCACATCTGCAGAGAGGCCTGTAACATCTCCAGTAATATCATTGAGAAGGTCCTCAGTTAAAGGTTCTGATTGTAACAGTGGTTGCTTAGATGATTTGGCATGTGTTCTCCATTTTGTAAAAATGTAATCAATCTCTGCTGAAGCCCTTTAACTTTATTATCTTGCATTTCTTTCCCTTTCTCTGTAAAAGTGTTGACTCTTGTGCTTCTCCTCAGTTGGGGCACAGGATTTTGTGAAGCTTCAGGGTTAACTTCTTGTTCTTCAAGATCAATTTGAGAGTCTGTTCTAGTCTCAAGTTGAATTGGTGGCTGATTTGGCTCAGTCATTAAATGTCCAACAACTAATTAAACTTGTATAAAAAAAGCAGTAAACTGAATTTCTCCTTTTTAACGTCTAAAAGTCAACAAAAACATTAATTACTTGTAATGGCAATGTAACTTATAACTGTAATAGTGTTGTGGAGAAAATGTAACTTCAATATTACCAAATGTACTTAATCCTTTTAAACAAATAAAAATAGCATTCATCCAAAAACCTTAAATTTACATATAAAATATACTACTGAGATGCAAATAAAATGATATTAACCTTTTCACTTGAATGCTTAAAACGTATCCACGTGAGAAGGTGTCAGATTACAAACAGATAAACCAGTTGGCTACAAGAACCTTGTTTTCAGTCACAGTTTGATTATCAGCTCTCAAGCTTCTCTTTACTCAAACTGCTGCTTTGTGGCCTTATCTTGAAAGATGCTCCTCAAACTGTGCTCTCCTTACGTCCCTACGTGCACGCGCCCGGCTCAAATGTCTCTTGATTGCAGCTACGCCTCGTGCGCGTGCTGCTCGTGCCCCGACAAGTCGGCTGATCCTTTGTTCTGACCGCCGTGCATGCTCTCCGCTCGTGGGTGGGGGTTCAGCTTCAACTCATGCTGATGAACAGTCGAGTTTTCACTATAACGCCTTTCGAGCACGCCCAGACACACGTGGTTTCCTCAAACTGATGAATTATTAAGATTCGCTACATGGAAACTCGTTGGCTGTGTGCTACCAAAAGGAACGAGGCTCGTTTCTTCAGTTTCAGCTTCTTTGAACTCTTCTCTTGAACTTAAAAGCCCGTGCTTACTTGTTGATACTCACATCATTGACTGACTCCTTCTTGTTACCTTTCACACCTGAATACAGCGCCAACTACAGGTGGCACGTAAAACTACATATAATTAAACATTACAAGTCATATGAATGTGAAACATGAAATAAACTGTGGCAGTTGCACAGACAGAGAAACACAGACATAGGCAATTATCTTATCACTCAATTTTTCATGGCTGCAGGTGATAATAGCAGCTTGAAGTCAAATTATCATCTATTCATTTTTGGAAAAATTCCTAAAAAACTGAAAGTAAAAAGATAAACAAATTGTCTTTTTATCCAAATTAATTTTGTGGTACTTAATGTTGTGGAAGCCAAAAGGATTGCAAATATCTCGTAATTCAATAATTACTGCCATATGGAACTGCAAGTACTACCAGCGGGTCATCAAAAGTAATTTTCAAATATTGGATTGTTTTGTCCTTGTGCAGGTGAATACACGGTGATGACGGCTCACTTCCATCTGAAGAGGAAGATCGGCTACTTTGTCATTCAGACGTACCTGCCATGCATCATGACAGTCATCCTCTCCCAGGTGTCGTTCTGGTTGAACAGAGAGTCTGTGCCGGCCAGGACTGTGTTCGGTAAGCATTCCACCATCTCAGTGCTCTTGTTATTTTTAGCCTTTCTTTATTATTAGATTATTCCACCTCCTGATAACACTGATGGGATTTAACAGCAGAGATGTGATGATTCAGCCTCACACATAATAGGATCTCAAGAAACAAGAGCAGACAATTTGAAAAAGTCTCACGATCTTTCAGAAGGTCCTGGTAATGGACTTGTCTACCAGCCAGGTCAAACTCACATGTCTGTACGGTAGATCTGATTGACCTGCTTCATTTGTAGAGTGTTGAATGAAACATAAAGCAAACAAAGTAGTAAAACACCCAGACAAAAAGATGGAAATGAAACGGCACATATTATAAGAGTCTGTTGACTGTACTGCAAAGATTATAACATTAGATCAAAGGATAACAGAGGTGGTGGTACAGACAGCCGCTGGCCCATATCAGTAGGGTCTGGAACTCCCTCAGGCCTGTGTACAAGCAGAGAGTTGGTGTAGATCATGTGTCAAACTCAAGGCCCGGGGGCCAAATGTGGCCCTCGTTGACATCTTATCTGCCCCCCCCCCCACAAGGTGATATGCAAAACGTAAAATATTTCTATCTCTTAAATATGTTCAGTAATCTTTGATTATGATGCTGAAAACACAACAGAGAACATCAAATGAGACCAATGAAACTCTTGTTGAGGAACCTGAGACCAAGAAAAGATGTTGGGTATCTGATTTGAGTTCATGTAGATTCTGAAATTGGCTCTTGGTTTGAAAAAGGTTTTTAATTATGGCCCCCTTTTGTAAGTGAGTTTGACACCCCTGGTGTAGATCAAAGTCCTTCACTTGTATCTTTACTTACGATAAGTTGGCCAATGGGTGTTTCCAAGTAGATCCCACGCATGTTTATTTTGGAAACTGCTAGGGGGACCTGGAAGCAACAGAAGGATGCAGACAGTTCAAAGACATGTGCTGGGTGTGGACAGGTGTCATCTTGTAGAAAGACTGCATTGCAGTACTGTCTCAAGAGGGTTAAGACATGCTGATGCAGGATGTCACTGATGTAGCGCTGTACGATCAGATCAAATCACAGCCAGAGGTGGCCTGCATCCGAACCTATGGTTCACCATATTGTGAAACGAGGAGTAACATAGATGAGTCCATCGTGTTGGCATGGTTGGCCCTCTTCCTTTCGCACCACAATGCTCAACTGTGGTAATCCAGAACCAAGAGTTGTGGCTGAACATATGACACCCCTGGTGTTTTATTTTTCAGAATCAGAATAAGCTTTATTATCATTGCACCAAGATACAACAAGAACATGTACGTACAGTCGTCCGAAAGATGGACGGAGTGCACAAAGCTGCTGCTATAAAAGCGCGGCCCTCTTATTCTTATTCAGAATAATATTTTGCTTAGATGAGAAAAGGGAAGAAAACATGAGGAGAGACGGTATAAAAAAAAGATCTCTCACACCATGTCCTAGACAGGGCACGATCTGAGGCATCAAAAAAACATACCACAGCAAAGCAACATAAGCAGACGTTATACATATGGGCCGGAGAAGACATTGAATTTTTAAGGGAAAGTCATAGCATAGTCCAGAGACCCCCCCTCAGCCATTGTCCAGATAAGAGGTGACGTTCATCATCAGCTCAGCTGAGCTTCTGTCACATGTCCACGGCCTTGGGGAAGGGAGGGGTGAGGAAACAGATAAAGCATCTTTGTTTTTTTTCTAAACATGCCAGGAGGAGTTGAGATAAGTCCGGCATCAAGGCCACAGTTTGGGTCAGAACTCATGAATTGCTGTTTCTGCCTTTTAAAGTCTCGCTGGTACATTTCCCTGATAGTGACTTCAAACAGCCAAATTGATTCCTTACGCCAAAAGTCGAGCTCACAGCTTCTCGAAGATTATTTCCACCATTCATGTGTGCTGCTAGAGAGTTCACAGTCCTGATAACAGCTGCTCCAGCTCCCTGCTGCAGCTCCACATGATTCAGTCTGAGTGCTGCCAAGCTTCGACACATCCACACAAATTTGTAGACAATTCAGATTTCACCAACCCAAACAGCAAAAAAACAGTTGTCATCATGAATCCAATTTGTTTCCATTGAGGGTCCTGCTTACCCTGACTCCTGTCGGCAGAAGTTAATTTTGTTGAGAGACCAGCTGATCAAATCCTTCGAATTAGGAAGGAATGCAGGGAAAAAAAGATGTTCTTTAAGGGTTCACGACGAAAGAGTGCAAGCAGGGAAGTGGGAGGTGTGTGTGTGTGTGCAGAGCACCTGGAGACACATCTGAAATTCATGCCATCTGGTTTTGGCACCATTCAAAATACAGCAGTGTCTGTTCTGGTGTTAATGTCAGCCTAAACACGAGCTGGTGAACCTGTAGTCCAGTTGATACCAGTTGTGAAGACATAGTGGTTTGAGACATCATGTTAGAGTCAGACTCACAAAATAATAGTGGCAGAAACTAGCTTTAGTTAAACTATGCAAGCATTGCAATTAGACCATTTATGCAAGGCTGATAATGATAAAAACAAAAATCATATTTATGTGATTTTCATTTGACAAAAATCACAACATTTTATTTTTTATAACAATTTTAGCAAAAATCAACAATTATTTTTCAATTTATGTTTGTGTCTGGTAATCACACAGCAACTACACAATAATACTATCACTCCACTTGTGAGGCCATGTGATCATGAAATACCTTTTTTTCCTCAGGTGTGACCACCGTTCTCACAATGACAACCCTGAGCATTAGTGCACGGAACTCCCTGCCTAAGGTTGCCTATGCCACGGCCATGGACTGGTTCATTGCTGTCTGCTACGCCTTTGTGTTCTCCGCTTTGATTGAGTTTGCCACTGTCAATTACTTCACGAAGCGCGGCTGGGCCTGGGATGGGAAGAGTGTCGTAAGTGAGAAGGTAATGAAGAAGAAAATGTGTCTTCAGACAGACTTGGTTTTCAAAGCATGGTAATGTGGCCGGCTGTGGCTTTACAGGCCAGCAGGAAATGGAAGAGAAGCAAAAAATTGAACATCAGCAGATTTAAACCTACACAATTTTAGTCAGTATTTTATATTGATTCAATCTTTAACAGGTGCACTTCAGTAGAAAAAATGTCAAAGTATTGTTTTTAGGCAGTATGCAGATTTTTTTCTGACTGCAGGGAAATTACTTATAATCTTTGTACATGTCTGTGTACTGTGCTAAACAGCCATGGCTTGAAAAAAGGCACTTGAAAAATCCATCCATCCATCCATTATCTTTACCCGCTTATTCCATTTTGGGTCACGGGGGTCGCTGGTGCCCATGTCCAGCAATCACTGTGCGAGGGGCGGGGTACACCCTGGACGGGTCGCAAGTCCATCACAGGGCCACATAGAGACAAACGAGACAAACAACCATTCACTCTCTCACTCACACCTAGAGACAATTTAGAGTTACCAATCAGCCTAACATGCATGTTTTTGGTCTGTGGGAGGAAACTGGAGCACCCGGAGAAAACCCACGCATGCACGGAGAGAACATGCAAACTCCACCCAGAAAGGCCCCTGGACCGGGGTTTGAACCAGGGACCTGCTCGCTGAGAGGCAGCAGCTCTACCAGTTGCGCCACCGTGCTGCCGTCACTTGAAAAGTAATTTAGGAAAAAAGTGGTAATCTGGCAAACCTGAAAATGAAGGGATTAGCATTTATCTATGAAAGGCCTAGCGTTCATCAAAAAAAGGTGAATCGCCCTCAGCCTTTAATGTCAGAGTTTAAAATAAAATCATCTGATGTTGGGAGGGGGCAGAAATTTGGTCAAACCACAAATATTAAAGATCTCATGCATTCATGTCATGCTCAAACATGTGTGTTGTAAATGACCCTTTAGCTTCAACCAAATCAAATTTTAGCTCAACTTCAGTAAGGCTGTGGGAGTTAATGATATTTCAGTTCTTGGTCATATTAATTAGCTGTGGCAGCCATCTTAAATTTGACTCAATCCAAAATTAAAGAGGTACGTCGATTTACCCAGTCACTGAGGGATTTGAATAGTGAATGCTTGTAGTTTTTAAGATGAGTTTCTCAAGTTTGTCTGGACTGGAACTGAACAGAGAATGCAAGTCAACCTCAATGTTTTGGGTGCAAGATAATAAAATGGGTAGAAGTTACACTGTAGTTGTTTTTGATTTATTTTATTTTTAATTTTTTTGCTTGTCTGAAGCAGCAGATTCTGGCAAGGAGCAATTTTATTGGAGTAGGGGTGTTGAACACAAAAAACACCCTTTTCCTGATGGTTCCCACAGATCACAAAAGGGAAGACGAGTCTTGAGGGAGATGGAGGAGAAGGCCTGACCTGTGACACAGCAACAGTGACAGGTTGGGGTAGTTCTTGAACTGGTATTTGCAGTTGATCTACTAGGTTTCTTAAAAAGTTAAGTCTGGTCCTCTGGACGTTCAAAAAAACAAACAACAGAAAAATTGTAAAAACGTTTCGTCACTCATCCAGAAGACTTCCTCAGTCTGAGGTGCTGTATTCAACTCAGTCTTATAAATAGCACCTTCTCAGAGTGGATCAACCAGTTTGCTGCTGACAACCAAAACCAGCTGCTCACATGCTAAAGGAGGGCCATCAGCCTAACGATGGATCATTAGCACCCTGATGGCTGCTTTTTATTCACAGGGGGCTCACTGTTAGAAGACAGTCACCTTCAAAAAGACTTGAAAAGTTAAACTCTCGAAAGGATGAAAGCAGAGATAAGCTTGGGTCCATCAAAGCACCTCACCCTTAAGAGAACTGGTTATGTGACTAATAACGGGCTGAGTCAGAAGAGTAGATCACGGGAGTTTGATTAAAAGCTAAATTGCATTGAAGAATAAATCCTCCACAGTGATTCAGTCAGTTCAGTTTTTTTCTAAAGCTCCAAGTCACAACAGAAGTCGTCTCAGGGCCTGAACAGAAACATTCATGTATAAAATAATAATTTAACATTATTTATCTGAGGAGCAGCTTTGAGTATAACTCCATCACAGAACTCTCATCTTGAACAAGCATGAAGGCGACAGTGGAAAGAAAAACTCCCTCATGAGGAAGAAACCTTTAGCAGAACCAGGCTCAGGACAAGAGGACCATCTGCTTCGACCGGCTGGGTTTGAGAGGAATAGATACACAATGGCAGGTCAAGAATCACATGTTAAGATAGAAATGGTATCAAATGAAAATGTTCAATTTTAGCAAATCATTTAAGGAAATGAGGTTAGTTTGTGCTCCAGTAGTCTAAGTCTATAGCAGCAGAACAAGCCGACCCTAACTATAGGATTTATCAAAAAGGAAAGTCTTAATCCCAGTCTTAAACTGGACAATGTGTCAGCCTCATGGACAGAAACTGGAAGTTGGTTCCTCCCATTCTGCTTTTGGAAACTCTAGGAACCACAAGTAAACCTGCAGTCTGAGAGCGAAGTGCTCTGTTAGTAAAATATGGAACAATAAGATCTGTAATATAAGATGGAGCTAGGTTGTTGAGAGCTTTGTAGGTTAGAAGTAAGATTTTGAATTCTATTCTGGATTTGACAGGGAGCCAATGGAGAGAAACTAAAACTAGAGAGATATGATCTCTCCCAGTAACTCCAGTTAAGACTCTGGCAGCAGCATTTTGGATCAACTGAAGACGTTTTAAAGAAGTATTTGGACACCCAGATAATAAACCATTGCAGTAGTCCAGTCTAGACGTGACAAATGCATGGACCAGTTTTTCTGCATCATGTTTAGATCAGATGTTTCTAATGTTAGTGATATTATGCAGGTGGAAGAAGGAGGTTCTAGTAACGTTTTTAATGTGGGGGATAAAAGACATGTCCTGATCAAAAATAACACCAAGATTTTTAACATTAGAGCTGGAGGACAGATTAATGCATCTAAGGAGGGAGAAAGACTGAAACATTCATTCCTAAGGTGCTCAGGTCCAAAAACCAAAACCCCTGTCTTGTCTGTTCAACAGAAGAAAATTTAGGGTCATCCAATCAAAATTCAACTTTATTTCTACAAATTGAAATTGTTCAAAGAGCTATCTACAACAGGAGAAATACTAATTGTTCATAACTTGTGAACAGAACCCCGTTCTAAAAAATCTGAAAAATTGTTTTTAATGGTTTATAAGGGTTCTTATATTACCCTAAATACTTTTTCCACCCTAATGATGGAACTTAGGGCTGGGTGATAGAGATGAAAATTAATATCTCAATATTTTTAAGATGAATGGCAATATATGATATATAGCTCAATATTTTTTCTTTCCATTAAAGTAATAAAAATATACAGTATAACTGTGTGTCATCCGCATAACAATGAAAATTTATCCCATGCTGTTTAATAACTTTACCTAATGGAAGCGTATATAAAGTAAAGAGTATTAGTCCAAGCACTGAGCTCTGAGGAACTCCATGACTAACTTTGGCGTACGAAGAAGATTCATTAGTTACATTTACAAATTGGAATATATCAGATAAATATTATTTAAACCAATTTAGAACTGTTCCTGTAATTCCAATATCATATTCAAGTCTTGGTAATAGAATATTATGATCAGCTGTATCAAATGCAGCACTGAGGTCTAACAGGACCAGTATAGACACAAGTCCATTGTCTGAGGCCATGAGAATATCATTAGCTTTCATCAGTGCAGATTCTGTGCTGTGGTGAGCTCTAAAAACTGAATGAAAATTTTCAAACAGATTATTTCTTTGCAGATGATCACGCAACTGACCTCCAACTATTTTCTCTAGAATTGTTGAGATGGACGTTAGATTAGATGTAGATGTATAATTGGCTAGGATTCCTGAGACAAGGTTATGTTTTTTAAGTAAAGGTTTAATTACAGCAATCTTAAAGCTCTGTGGTACATAACCATTTATTAGAGACAAATTAAGCAGATGCAAGTTGTGGTTATTATTAAGGCAAATATGTCTTAAAATAGTCTGGTTGGGATGGAATCTAGCAGACGTGGATGGTTTGGATGAAGCTATTATTTTTGACAATTCAGAGCTCAACAGGACAAAAACAGTCCAAACATAAATCAGGTTTTGTGACATTTTTAAAGTTGCCTCATCTGACACAGAACCAGCGGTGATACTAGGAATGTTGGTTTAAATTTTTTTCCCTCATTGAACCCATTTTATTTATATAGAAACTCATGAAGTAGGGGAGTGGTGGCGCAGAGGTTAGAGAGGTGGGCTTGTGATCCGAAGATCGCCGGTTCACGCCCCGGCCCCGACAATTTCAAAAATTGTGGGTGGGATAGGTGAAACACCCACACTTGCCCCCACCCTCGTTCGCCCCACTCTGGGCCCATGACCAAGGCCCTTAACCCCACCATGTGCTCCCTAAAAAAACAGGTCTCTCTTGAAAATGAGTTCTCGTGGCTCAATGAGACTAACCTGGATAAATAAAGGCTAAATGAAAAAAAAAAAAAAAAAGTCATCAGTGCTTATAGTTGTAGGGATACATGAATCAACAAAGATAGGATTTTTCATTAGACTAGCTATGGCACTGAAAAGGAACCTGGGGTTATTTTTATTTTCATCAATTAAAGATGAATAATATAAAGTTCTAGCATTACAGTGTACTTTTTTTGTACGTTGGCAGGCTTTCTCTCCAGAACAAGTAAGATTCCTTAACATTAGTGGGACACCATTTTCTTTCTAACTTTCGCGATGCCTGTTTTAATGTACGTAACTCAAAATTGAACCATTCATTCAACCTTTATTTAAACAGATAAATCACATTGAGCCTAAAAGACTTATTTACAAGTGAGATCTGTTTAGACAGACAAAAAAGTGGTAAAATGGATGCATGTAGGAGTTGGAAGCGAAAAAATTCCTATCAGACTTTTCTTTTCCTGCCTGAGAAAACAAAACTCTAATATTAAAATAACACCTCGCACA